TTTGATTGTTAATTTGCATCTTTAATATTTTCCTATTAAATTACGAGTTTTTCTGATAAACTCGCTTAATTCCCATTATAATATTTTAATACATGGAACTCAGACAATTAAACAATAACGAATTTAGAAATAAATAATTAAAATTATTATTCGAAAATGAAAGAAAGTTATTAATTTAAAAACAACTATTTATTTATATAAAGGAATTTAACTATATTTTTGAATGAGTACTTTCAGCTATTTCTTTATCGGTGAGCTTGGTCAAGATGATTGTCTAAATAGTGACGACGCAGATGTCAAAAAATGCACAGCTAAGGATGACATGTGTAAAACTAAAATTACTATAAGTTCTTGTTCTTTATATAACCCACTTCTTCTTATATAGCCCACGGATTATATGCTTAAATATCTTAGTTTTTGTGATGCGGATTATATCGCATGGCATACAATCTGTAATTTTTTTCAGAAGTTTTATATAAATAAGTTCAATAAAAGCCACCACTTAAAAATGTTTTTTGTCTAACAAAAATTGACAGAATTTTATTAGAGAAAGAAAAAATAAACAATCTACTAAACTCAAAAAAGGAATCATAATAATTTTGGACGATGGGAAGGAGTAGAGCTTTTGTGGAAGTTGGCAAAAATGCAAATGGTATTCTAGATCTCTGTAGCTAGTGGATGAAAAACCTCGGAATTAAGTTATAGATAGGAAATAAAAATGTTTTACAGGAAACAAAATAAATCATTAATTGTGGTACTGTGATACTTAAGTGATATTTCGTTTTTCTAACGAATATAAAAATTACTCATCGTCATTCTTTATCACTTTCCCACTTACCGCTTTTTAAATTTATAAAATATAATTTTTTTATATAATTATTGCATATAAAACGCTTTTTAAAAATCTAAGACCTTTTTAAACTGAAAAGAATCTTGCTAGTTTTTAGCTAAAAATAATATAAAATAAATATAGAAAATAACGGATATAAAAACAGAACTTTGTTCTTATATACAATGCCAAAGTATATAGTACAGGACAGATATTATATTAAAGAATAAACACTAAGTCAAAGAATAGATTATAAGGGAATTTTATTATTTTTGTTAGAAAAATAACAGTTGGTTTTTAGTGCTGTGGAATATAAAATAGGAGAAACAACGATAAAATCAAAGGACGACTTTTCATAACAGTATGAAGCTTTTGAAACTTCATTGGGAAGCAAAATATTTGAGGATAAATAAATATTTTTATTTTTCAAGGTGTATTTCTCAAAGAAAGATCTAATTAAATATTTTATATTCTTCTTCTATGGTGCAACAGCCCATGGTGAGCCAAGACCTTCTGCCTACTGGTAGATACCGAAGCAGAAGATATTTTCTTTTTCCGGGGTAGGGTGGTCTAGATTAGTTATATTAGACTACTACTACAACACCACACCCCTGTGCCTAGAGCTCAGTTGCCCCTTTTACAGTTTGGGAATGATGTAGGTGAGAAGAAGTTTGATTGGGCTCTGTGACTGTCTAAGGTCATATTAGACTGGGACCTACTGCTTAAAGTGAATTCCAAACCACAAACATCCATGGTATCACCGGGACTCGAATCGAAGCCTGGGGCACCGAGCGCCAGAGCGCTAGCCACTCGGCTATCGAGGCCCCAGTCACATTAGATCGCTAGTCACTCAGCCATGAGGCAAAAACAGTTTATATTACTGAAATGAAAATAACTACCATATTAGAAATTGTTTCTTAAAATATTATTTTATGACCATATTTGTAACGTTTATAAGTATAATTAATGTTTTTCATAAGAAAGTTTTAGATTTATCGTATTTTTTTTTTTTATACATTTTTTATTTGAATATTTATTAATAACACAAATGTTCATCACAAATGATGTATGGTTCCAAAATATTATACTGTAAATCATTTGATTTAACACATTTAAATTTTATTAAAGATATATTATTTAAGCATGTGATGCTGTATAACATTTGAGTGTAAGAAATTTTGTTTTAGTAAGTGTTATTCCATGTTCAATCAAAACAACAATGCATTTTTATTAAATTCTGTGTCAAACCTAGATTTATTTCACAATACTAGCTAGCTAAAAAGAAAATTAGTTATCCGTGTTAAATTTTTAAACGCATTCTTATCAACAATACCTGTTTTAATTTTCCATGCAGCCGTAGGGCTGTATGTAGCGCTATTGTGACGCAATTTCCCGAACAATAGCGCTACAGATTCAGATGAGTCATCACCATTTTTTTACAACTTCATACAACTTCCGCCGTTTCTTTTGAGCTACTGTTCTTTTAATGAGGAAAAGAGTGCAGTAAAAGCTGATCAGATTCGCACGTTCTTGCTGCAAATATGTGAAGCATAGTTCTTGTCATTTCAAATTTTACTGTATTTTAAGTTTAAATGTACTGGCATGTTTCCGTTATTTTTTTTTTTTTGTATTGAGACATGATAATTTTCCGACTGTCTGTTTGTCTTTGTAAAGTGACATTTCTGTATAAATTTCGTTCATAATCCTTTTAGATTACAGTTTGTTGTCTTTTTTTCTTTTTCTAAATTATTTTTAAATTTATGTTGCAATTCATATTTTTTGTTTCTGCATTTATTAATTTATTCTTTCAGTTTATTTAAATATTTTATTGTGTTTACATGTCAGGGGAAATACGCTTCATTTTTTAATACATTTTCAACAATTTTTTTCAATAAAATTTTCTACATGCCAATAGAAAATCTCATTTTAAATTACTTATTATTCTTTAGAGATGATAACGCTGAATTTATTTTTTGTTGATTTTAAATAAAAAAAAAAAAAAGTAAACAAAATATATTTTATGAGCAGGGAGCTTTTGATTTTAGAGCAGGAGTTTTGTATTGATGTTGTTGTTGTTGTTCTATTGCAGCTGGCAATACAAACCCAGTTAGTCTTTATGTCATAAGCAAAGGCTACACTGCTGTTACTCATCTAGCACTACCCAGGGGGCACGTGTGGCTTGAAGATATGTTACGGCGTGAGTTACACTACCCCCAATTTTATATTGAATGACCGTGATAACTTACAATGGTTAAGGATTTTATAAAATTAAATGTCTCACAGTACAAACAGAAGTCTTTGGTTACTTTTATCAAAGCAGCATTTTTTATTACGATTTACATGTAGTTTAATTCATGAAGTTTTTAAATGTGTATATATCCATTTATAAATATTATTTTTTTTCACTCATTAAATAAAGGAGATATGGTGAAAAATCTGTGTTTATTTTTCTTCTAAATTGTTTTTAATGCAAATGTCATGGAAGATATGAAGTCTGTCTTCCAGTTGTCCCATCTTTTTTAAATATGTGTTTAACAAGGAATATGGTGCTTGCTATCCTCTATTTAAGGTCTTTTAAATCTGTAATCTTCTATACGTCACCTTTTATCTGTTCTTTTTGTTGTTTCTTATTCCACTTGGTAGACAGCAACACCTAGACCAAGTCTAAGAACCAATGTGGCAAGATAAGCCAACTTCTGTTGTGATGGAGCACCCGTTTAGTAGAAATCTGACTTGGCTCCATGATGTTGACTTCTTACGGTGTGTAGGGTTGTCAGCCCTACGCTCAACGCTCTACAGCCATATTAGACTGAGATTTATGGCTTAAAGTGGATTTAGAACCACTACAAATATCCATAGCACCGCCGGGACTCGAATCCGAAACCCAGAACGCTAGTCACTCGGCCATCAGGACCCTCTTTTTTTTAAAATATATTAGTCACTATTGTAAAATGATCATAACTATGATACGGGGAATTCCAGGTTGTAATATAGCTTTTTTGAAATCGTTTCTGTAGAATGCCACAAACTTCATTTGTAGATCTTTTGTTAAAAGTTATTTAAAAATTCACAACAGGGCAGGAAATTTCATCTACTTTGTATAATTTAAAACAGCGTAGTATTTATTTTCCATATAATTTCATGCGACTATGCTTCAAAGTTATGAGGCCTCGTTGTAATTGAATTTTATTAGTTATTTCATGGTTTCTTTATTCAGATATCACCATGAGAGAAAACCAAATTTTATTGGCATCCTTTTTATTGCAACCATCCAATCCGGTTATGATAATTGATTTCATTGATATTCAATGCCGATTGCATATTTCATGCGCCTTTCGAGTTGTGTGCCCGAGCTGAAAGTGTCCATAAAAGATTTTATTGCCGATTTAAATAACAAAAAATCAGCCATTCAATGCGCAATGGAAGAGCTAACAGCCGTCCTGAACTGCTGCTGCTGCTCCCGAATCATCTACTGACAGACTGTGATTCATGGCTTCCTGGGTGAAATGTCGTCCTTATATCCTTCGAGGACATAAAACAGACTTCGATTCGATTCAGTAAGGACTCATTAAGAAAACATTTACCATAAATATCAATTGATTAAGAGCTGAAATATCTTTTTTTACAAGTGCCATTTCGCTGCCCTTGTGCAAGTATGGGAGTGCTATCAATAGGATAATGACATTAGAAATAGAATATTAGCGACATGAAACGGATACATGAACGCACCGATACATGGCAGCGATAATGATCCACTTGTCTTTTACAGAATAAAATATTCATTCGTTTATCACAGTGAACTATGGTTATTTTCACAATTTCTTTCTTTTTTTTTTTTACGACTTGTCCGGAAGTCTGCTTGGAAAATATTCGATAAAAATATAACTGGACATGTTCAAGCAAACTTCTACACTATTTTACGTTCATTCATTATTTGGAGTTGAAATATGTTTAGACACGTATTTGTTACTAAATATATAAATGAGATTGTTATGATTGAGATTCATCGATTAAGATGTATGAAATAGTTCTAATGAAATACAAATGGTGAGATAGGTTTATTGATATTTGACAAACTTGAACTCATATTCACGGTTTTTCAATTTTAGTTACATTAATACATATTACATTATATGTAGTGTTAAAAAATTGTGGGGTCATAAAACAAGGTTGAAGGTGCAAGGGGATCTAATCCCGGGGCTTTCACATGCAAAGTGAACGCACTACCACTGAGCTACACTCCCTCTTGGAGCAAATATTATTTAATTTTAATTAATTGTATGCTTTTATTTTTTTCTAAATTGAACTGAAATAATATATTAATAAGTGCATAATTATATTAATTAATTAATTATTGATTATTTAATGTAATAACTAACAAAGAAAAATAACGTATTAAAAAGAGGAAGTCCAATATTGATAGGGAAAAAGTTGTGACGAATACTTGTAGGGCAGGAAAAAATTGAGGTGCGGGGATCGAACCCCGGGCCTTTCACATGCAAAGCGAACGCTCTACCACTGAGCTACACCCCCTGTTGTGATTGGGATAAAATATTATCCATTTTTAATTAATTTTATGCCTTTATTTTTCTTCTAAATTGAACCGAAATAATATATTAATAAGTTTGCAATTATGTTAATTAATTTGATTGTTCAATGTAGTGCATGACTAATGAAGGGAAAAAAATATAATAAAAAGGAACGGCAACATTGACAAGGGAAAAAAAGAGTGATGAATAATTGTGGAGTCAGGAAAAAAATTGGAGGTGCGGGGGATCGAACCCCGGGCCTTTCACATGCAAAGCGAACGCTCTACCACTGAGCTACACCCCCGCTGACACATGCTGTTCCATTTTATTTCACGCCTTGTTTTCATAGCAGGTGTTTAAACAAACGATTAATTCTGACGCCTTATTTTCACACCGTGTATCTTCAATAGAGATAGAATAGAAGTAAGTACTTTCGGTTCGAATATATTTCTAAAAACTGCTTGCGAATCGAATTAAATTATTTAGAAAATTGTAAATAGGTATGTTGAAATTTAAACGTGCGTTTTAAAGAATTTCATTTAAAATTTTAAGTTTTAAAATTGAAGTTTTATCACTGTCCAAATTCATTTTTAATGCAGGTAATTTTGAAAAATAACTATAATGTAATGCGCCTATTTCATGGAATTTTTTTTTTTTTGTTGTACTTTTAAATTCAAATCATTGCACATTACATATTTACAGAGTGTAAAAAAAATAAAAAAAAATAAATAAATAAAAGGAAACTTTTCTACACTTCACACACCAACACTTTTCAAAGAGAATAACATCCAATGTTAGAAACAATTATTGAAACAAATTCCTGTGATTGGACTAACATTTTATAGTAATTAAAATAAATAAATATTCTTCTTCTTCATTGGCGCAACAGCTCCTTGGCGGGTAAAGGCCATCTGGGCTGATTTCAAGACTGGCAGATGTTATCTTTTACGAGGTCGAATTGTCAACCATACGTCCAATGCTCTTACCAGTCATAGTAGACAGAGACCTATAATTTAAAGTGGATTCCGAACTACTACAAACATCCATGGCGCCATCGGTATTTGAAACCTGTGGCATCGAGTGCCATTGAGCTATGGGGCCTTTAGGCCTTTTTATGTATAGATAATGAGTTATAATCTACTTTTGAAATTATCCTCTCCTTAATAGTAAGTTGTTATAAGCAAAATTTTAAATTGCCTTTACCATTTGAACATTAAATATAAATATTTGTACAATTTTTCCAACATAGTAAACAATTTCAGCGGTGCATGAATTCTTGCATTTATATATTACTTTTGCTATCCGCTGAAGTATATGCTAAGTTCTGAAGTTTTTTTGCTAAGAGATATTAACAGGCAGCATAATGGATATATCTAACATTTACTTGTTACTGAATTACCGAGAAATGTTATGGAAAGTATAATTTGAAAAAAAAAATTGTTTTAAGAAAAAAAAAAAATTGGAAGTCAGTTTTTGTCTTGCCTTTTCCAAAAATTATAGCCTCACTTTTGTCTGTGTTGAATGCAGTTATCCTATTTAGTTATCTATATTTTGAGCATCTGAATTAATTTTTGTAGAGTTCTTGTCACAAATCTGAGCGTGGAGCCTTGTATCGCTAGAATGATAAAATTATGCAAAATTATTCCTTAATACACCAATTTTTTTTTCTTTTATTATTATGTCAAAAACTATTTCATGTTGTTTACGATGCCGAATTCGAATAATGAAACAAAATTAATTAAAAGGAAAAAAAAAAAAAACCCAAAGAATAACTTACATTTTATTCTGATATAGCCTTTGTTGGAGGATACCGTATATATTCTTATCAAATAAATGAAGCAAAACAACAACATCAGAAAAACAGCGTTAAACGTTCCAGCGGCCTTTTTTTCTGTAAACTAACATTCTAAAATTAAAAGTTAAATTTTTCACGCGAATTCAAATAACTGTTGCCACAAAACTTTAAAAAGAAACTATATAAAAAACTTTAAAAAAAACTATTAAAGACTTTTTAAAAGAAACATTCGATCGACGATTTCGCCGTGAGCTAACGCTCTAAAAATAAAAAAAAAACATCTTTCGCCCAAATTCAAATAACGGTTGTTATAAAACCTTAATTATTTCATCAACTTTAAAAAAGAAAATATTTATTTGATAATCAAATATATGTTATTTATAAATTAAAAAAAATCGTTTTTCCTGTTTGTTTCGTATTCTCGTGACTGGCAACATCATAAAAATTGTTTATTTTCTGTATCATATACTGTCAACATACGTTATAAGAACAGTCTTGGAATAATCAATAATTTGTAGTGGGTTCGGAATCCACTTTAAAAACTGTAGGTCCCGGTCTAACACGATCGTAGAGCGTTGTGGAGAGCAGAGCATAAATATTTAAAAGGATATATAACTAAAAATTCTGCAAATAACTACCAAAGTAGAATAGTCGTGGAATAAATAGTCCTTATATATGTTCTGAAAAACTAAAAGTTGAATTAGTCCTCTTGTTCCAGAGTATTGTAACCATAAAGAAATTGGCTGAACATTGGTGAAATATTCCATGTTTCAAGATTGGCGACTTACTCAGGGTACAGTATTCTAGATTTCAATAATAGTTCAATAGTTTTTAATCTAAAATGCTTCAATTTTAATAAATTTTTAAAATTTAAAATACACAATGATTTTTTACGAATTTATTTATTCATATTTTGTAATCACCATATTAATAATATATTTCTTTTCTATACTTACGATAAACATATATCGCTCTAAACATTAATTAGAAAACATAATTAGAATAATGAAAAACTTTTATCGCTTATGTAAATTTACAAGTACTATTAATAAACATTTAAGATACAACAGACTCATCTTAAGATAGAATTAAAAAAAAATGTTGCATCACGCAGAAATTCTTTACTTCATCCAATACCTTGAAAGGAACAATAAATCAATTAATAAATACATTAAATATTCCTAATTGAAAACGATTAGATAAATTCCAGTGAGTGAGTTCAATGTTGAATCGATTTCGAATTCAAAAGCTCGATTCATTAACATTCTTCTCCGCAAAGATTTTTTTTTTTTGTCTTTAGATACAAAGATTTTTTATTTCTTTTTATTCTGAAACAATATGAAGTGTTTCCACATTATGTAATACTATTTAGTGGGCTGCATTTTCGAAGGCTCAGCACCTAGCTACATTTTTGTTTATAAATGAACAACGTTAAAAAGAACACGACTAAAAAATAATAGACGAAAGAAAAATCATTCACTTATATAAATTTTTGTTATGACGAATGAATGGGAAATCGTAAGCTTCAAATGACCTTGGATTGTTATTGTTGGAAAATTGCAGTGATTATAAAGTCCAATACAAGTTTCTACTATTGTAGAAACACGCAACTGTTACAATGTACGATAATACAATAATAATAATGATAGTTTTTTTTTATTCGAACTGACGAAAAAAAAAACTTATTTCATATTGTTAATAAAATAATAGGATAGAAATAATCATAAACAGTCATATTGAAATAAAATTTTAATTGGATGCCATATTCGTAATAACAAGTAATGATATTTTGAATTTTGTGTGAAATTAATTTAATGTGAAATTAATTATTTCAAGAAAAGGTGGCATATTATTATTATTTATTAATTGGTTGACCACTATTACTTTGCTTTTATTATTTCAGATTATATTTATTATGTATTGCATTATTATTTCGGATTACATTTATTATTTTTATTATTTCGGATTTAATGTATTTTTTCATTTCTTCCGGCTATTTAATTTTTATTTGTTTTTTCATTTTCATTGTGTTTATCTGAAATATTTAGATCGGTGTTTTTTAATTTAACTTCTCCATTCTTCTTCTTCTTCTCCATTGGCCAAATTGCCCCATGGTGGGCCAAGGTCATTTGCCTACAATTAGATTTTGAAACAGGAGATGTTTTCTTTTAAGGGATAAGGTTGTCAGCCCTTCGCCCAACAATCATATTACATCGGAACCTACGATTTAAAGTGTATTCGAACCACTACAAACATCCATGGTACTGCCGGGACTTAAACCCGAATCATGTGGTAGTGAGCGTCAGGCATTCGGCCTTCACGTCTCTATTTGTAAAAGAAAATCGTTTCATCTCTAATCCATTGTCAGCATTAAATGCTGCAAAGATTTAATGTTTGATTCCCTTTATTTTGCAATAGCGGATGGTTACATTGGGCCTGATGGACGAATGACTAACGCTCTGGCGCCAGGTGCCACAGGTTTTCGGGCTCGAGCCCCGGTAGTGCCGTAGATACTTTGTGGTTCGGAATCCACTTTTAAAACGTGGGTCTCGGTCTAATGTGACTGTAGAGCGTAGGGATGACAAACTTACCAGAGAAAAAAACAATGAAGAAATTTTTGTCTCGAGAAATCTGCCAGTAGGCAGATGACCTTGACCCATCATTGTGCTGTTACGCCATTGAAGAAGATGGATAGTTACGTTACTAGTGGTGGCTTCTTCGAAGCTATAAGCAACAAGGCAGCCAGTGAATTGAACCTTAGTTCTAATGCTCAATAATGGCGCACTTTGCGACTGAGCCATGAGTCGGGCTACTTGCTTTTTAAATGTATAGTATTTGGCGCCTTTGACTGTGTAAATTTTAATATTGGGGCTCTCTCACCTTCAAAAGGGTTGCTATAACTATTAATATGATTGTAGAG